AAAAAAAAAAAAAAAAAAAAAAAAAAAAAAAAAAAAAAAAAAAAAAAAAAAAAAAAAAAAGAGGAAAAAAAGAAAAAAAATAAACATACACATCTTGCAAATAATCTAATAAATAACTTCATGCAAAAATTAAATAACTATTAATTATATTAGTTATTCGATTAAAAGACGTACTGGATTTGGTTGAGGAGCAGATGGTGCTTGAAAATGAGGAGCTTTAGTTCCAATAGCTCCAATTGGTTGAGAAGATGGCTTGACGCTGGCTGACATCAAGGAATTTGAAGAAGAGCTAATAAGAACTGTATTCGGATTGTTACTGAGTTGTTGACTTTGTCCAAATGGTGGAGCAGCAGCTGCTGTCTGTAAAAAATAAATATTTTTATATTTAAATATTTATATATTTTAAGAAATGAAAAGAGGCACTAGAACAAGCAAGTTATCAATTCAATTATATTTAAATATTATATTATAATATGGTTTTTTATTATATATTTGCTATAATTTGATAATATCTTATAATATGTTTTTGCATTGGTTTAGATAGAAATAATCAATTAAATTATATTTCCTATGTATCTTTTTTCTATTTTTGAATATTATTTATATACAAGATATGTTAATATTTAATAAATATTTAATAAATTTTAAAATATCAATATATAATATTCCAAAATGATTAGTACAAGTGAATAATAATTGTAAATGCAAAAATAAATTAGAAAGAATGATATTTTACTTTAAATTTCTTTTCTTTAAGTTTTGTTTTTGAAAAAATCGAATTTGGAAACTGTTTCAAATATAAATAAATTGATAGGAAATTATGTTAATATGAAAATAATTAAAATGAAATTGATATAAAAATTATTTAAATTTTTCTTTTAGTAAAAATCGAAATATATATATATAAAATAAATAGTTATATTAGGCATTACAAAAATATAATATTATAACATTAATCAAATGATAGAAAAATATAAATTTCAATATTCTTAACTTAAAAGATCGAAAAAGAGT